AGCCTACCTAAATTCAGTACTTTAGTTCAGTGAAGGATATTCCTTCCCCTTACTCAACTTATCAATTTAAAACTCTTTTAGAATAGGTAGGTAGATGTCCAATTAAAAGCTCTTCTCCTGTCTTGGACTTTTTTGTTAGTTAATGGCAACAGAAATCCTTTCTTAGGTATAGTACTTTTAAGTTTAGAATTAATGAGGATCTCAACTTTATTTTAGGTCATTTGCTTTGTCCTGACCCAGGATTGAAGTGTGATAATTAGACGTGTGATAGATGTGTGAGATAAGAGTCACCATACCAACTGCCATCCAGTGGATTCCAACTCATAGCTACCCCCATTGGGTTTCTGAGGCAATAAATCTTTATAGAAGTAGATTGCCCCGTCTTCCTTCCATGGGGTGGCTGTTGGGTCTGAACCACCAACCTTCTGGTTAGCAGTCAAACGCCTTAGCCACTGCACCCACCACCTGAGCTCCTTTGAGATAAGAGTTGTTGTTGTTGTTGTTGTTGTTGTTATGTGCTGTCGAGTCGGCCCCGACTCATAGCGACCCCTCCTTGGGTTTCCGAGGCAGTATCACTACGGAAGTAGGATTGCCCAACCTTCCTTCCGAGGAGTGGCTAGTGGGTTTGAACCACCAGCCGTCTGGTTAGCAGGCAAGTGTCTTAGCCACTATGCTACCAGAGTGACTATTATTTCTGTTTTTCGCTTTACCACAAAAAATTAATTGAGAAATATCTATTGCCTGTCTGGTACTGATTTTCACAAAGAAATACAACACCCAGTCCCTCCTTTAAAGAATTTATTTTCTTGTTGGAGAGAGATTTTTTTACATGGAAAAAGAATCAACTGATGGGTATATAAGAGATATCTAAAGTAACAAGTATATATTCAATATATGACCTGATTTGGTATAAACTTGAGTAAACTAGGAAGGTGTATATCTTGAAGAGCTTGCATGATTCTGATGAGAAGTATGGTGAACTAAAAAAAAATAAGTTTTTAGGCTGAGAAGACACTACCAAATACACTGTAAAAATGATTAGTATATATAAAAGACAGGACAGAAAAGTCTATTGTTGGGTGGAACACAGTGAGAAATGGGAAATAAGTATGAGACAGTAGCCAGTACTGATGAGAGTATGTGAACCGTTGGGTAGCTTACTTAATTTGTCTGTTGAAGCTCGATAGAACCTGCTGTAAGTTTCTTGATAGAGTTAAACTGTCTGGCTTGTAGTAAGTACAAATGTTAACTATTATCTTTTGATTAGATAAGGTGAGGCAGATTTTGTAGTAGTCAGTTTTGCATTACATTTTGTGTTCCAAAAAGCCACTGCCAAAATTGCACAAGTGAAAAAAAACACAGGGTTTATGGGAAAGTGGGATTAGTGGTACAACACTCACAAACTTCATCAGTTAAGAAAGCTAGTAACCTGGTAAATGTATCAATCACATTGGAACAAGTTCACAGTTTTAAGACAAGTGTTATAGCTGAACTATTTTATTGAGCGATCTGAAGGATTTGATCCAGTAGCCAGTGGAGACTATTGTAAATAAAAATGGAGTGACAATATAAATATTCAAGAAACGTTCATCTCCTGGTAGTGTGCAAAATCCACTATGCAAAAATCTTGAATTCCCTGCCCACTACATCTCTTTTGGCATTGTCTCATTTTATTATAGTCAACGGTAGGTATTTTCATTGGTGATTGCTGTTTATTGTGTCTAATTCTGGGAAACTGGTAAGAAGCAGAAGATAATTTACCTCTTTATTTTCATGCATCTGTTATTGCCCAATTTGTTTAGCAGTGTGTATGTAGCTCTAGGATGTGTTTGAAATCAGTCATGTTTTATAATTTTAACAATCCTCCACTTTTTAATGGGCTGTTTTCTAGCAAGTTTGTAATTGCTTGGAGCTGGAAATATTTTTTTCCCCCAGTTTTTTTCCCCTGTTTGCTACAGGGCTCAGTGTATGAGATATTCATTGTGTATATGGTAGATTCTCATTTCAGCCCCTCAGTTCATATTTAACCCATGCTATTGAACTGGACATGATACGGTGTATAAAAGACCTCTGTGGGAAATATGTTGTGTGTTATACTGGAATGTCAGGAACATCTTTGACCAAAAGAGAAGAATCCTCTTTGATCAATCTCTCTCCTCAGTCTCTACCACCTGTCTTTTTCTACTTGAATCTTACAGAGAAAGGTAGATGCACGTATCTTTGAGAATTGTAGGAATACTTGGAAACAGTGAGTGGTATGGTAAAATAGGAGGAAGGGGAATTTTTGTGTGTGTCTGTAGAGTCTCTAGATGATGCAAACTGTTAAAGCACTTGGCTGCTAACCAAAAGGTTGGAGATTCAAGTCACTCAGAGGCATCTCAAGAAGAAAGCCCTGGCAATCTTCTTCTGAAATACCAACCTTTAAAAACCCTATGGAGCCCAGTTCTACTGTGGCATACATGGGGTCACCATGAGTCAGAGATGACTTGACAGCACCTGGTGTGGAGGAGGCGGAGGGAGGCGTGGAAATCCAAGCCAGGATGATTATGTGTATGAGGTTGTAGTAGAACGAAGGGCCATGTCATATGTCATGCTTGGCATATTCTAGTCTGAAATTAGAGAATTCACTTTTGGATTTTGTTATGAAAGTAAGGCTGTGTGGTATTGAAAAGGACGAAGCTGAGGTGAAAGGAGAACTTCAGTGTTTGCTTCCCCAGCCCCACCTTCCATGGTATTATTTATGGACATTTAAGGGTGAAGTGTAAATCAGGTGAGTGAAGATCAGAGAATGGCTTCTTGATTTGGAAACCAGCTAAGATTCTTCAGGTTTGGAAAGAATGATCTAGAGAAGGGAAGAGTCTAACATGGAATACCTGTTGTACTGCAGGACTATAATAAATGCTTTACATGTATTAATCCCCACAGTGAGTCCAAAAGGGAGATGTTAATATTCCAGGTATAGTTGAGGAAACTGAGAATTAGTTGAATTACCAATTTGGTGTACCCAACTCTAATCCAAATTTGTCTTACTCTAAAGAACGTGCTTTTTATATCATACCATGGTGCCTACCAGTTAGGCCCAAATAATGTTGGTGATGTAATAAAAAAGACAGGAGTAAATTTATTATGTGAGGTTGTTAGTGCCTGGCAAATCTTAGCCTCTCAATAGTTTTTACCTTTTTCCTCTAAAGACTAAAAAAAACAAATTCACTGGCGTTGAGTTGTTTCCGACTCATAGCACCCCTCCTTGGGATTCCAAGACAGTATCTTTACAGAAGTAGATTGCTCAGTCTTCCTTCTGAGGAGTGGCTGATAGGTTTGGACCACCAGCATTCTGTTAGCAGTGACCCTTAGCACTACACCACTAGAGCTTTCTCTACAAAATACAAAATTACAAATCACAATTATGAAAGTTTAAACCATTCTTTATAAAGATGTTACATGAATAATATTGTGACTCTTTGGCCATGGAAGAGGTTAATATGGCTTTGAACAAAATCAAGCAGGCAGTCACACTTTGACATCCTTTCTCTGATCTACCAGACAAAATATTAAAACAAGATAACCAGAAAGACATAACTGAGATTGTATATTTAAAAAATATCTCTGTAGGTCAGAAAATAAAACCACACAAAGCAATGAGTGAAAGCAATGCTAGAGGCCTGCTGGATTTAGGGGTGGCTTGGCTTGTTAGCTTTTAAAAAAATATGGCTCACCCTACCAGCTGTAAATAAATCTGTGGTACTAGTACAAGAAAGAGTAGATTAGTAAACAGAATAGAAAATCCAAAAATAAAGTAACTAAATATGGTAGTTTAGTCTGTGGTGATGATGATAAAGGAAAAGATAAACATTTTTATTGAAGTGGTATTGTATATAAAGAATACTCATATGGAATAGGATGAAATTAGATGCATTCATGCCATACACTAGGAACAGATTGAAATGGAAAGAAGAAAAATTATTCACTGGGGTTACTATAGTCCACAGTTTGATGGGTGTTGAGTCAGTGACAAAATTTCACTAGTGTAATACAAGAATCCTGTCTATTTCTAACCAGGGTATAGGAGCTCTGGTAGCGTAGTGCCTAAGGCACTTGACTGCTAACCAGAAGGCTGGAGGTTCAAACCCACCAGCCACTCCTCAGAAGGAAGGTTGGGCAATCTACTTCTGTAGTGATACCGCCTTGGAAACCCAGGGAGGGGTTGCTGTGAATCAGGTCCTACCCAATGGCACATAACAACAACAACATTACAACAAAAATACAGACTATCTGGGCTGTATGCTGGAGACATGATAGTGGTGAGTAAGTTAAGTCTTGGCCATCCAGATGCTTGTAGACTTACTTGATTTTCTTGGGCAGGCATCAGATCATTTTAATATATTTGCGTTATGTGGTGGGTGGGGAGTACACACGTGTATACAAAAAAAGATTAGATATATATGTAGGGAGTTAATCATTTTGGTGGGTTTTACTGCTCAAAATGCTTTAACACATTTGCTTTTTGGAAGCGTACTTTAAATTTCTTTTTCTTTTGTTTTAAGTAATGCATATTTACATCATTCAGAATTCAAAAATTACAAAAAAGTCTCTAACACAGTCCATTAGACACCCAGTATCCCAGTCCAAGAGGCTTCTTGTTAGAGGCTTCTTGAATCCTTCAGTTCATATTCTCTGCACATGCAATATTTATTTCCCTTGTTATACACTTTGTTCTGCTTTGTGGGGCTCTCCCCCCAAGTTAAATTATGTCTTAAAGGTTGTTCCATTTCATTGCATATTAGAGCTACGTTCTCTCCCCTGCCCCCCTAAGGCTGCCTAGCATCTAGTTGGGTAACAACAGTAATAATAAATGTAATGCTAATGAATTTTTTAATTGTTTTCAGTCTTTTACTATAAACAAAGCTACACTGAGTATCCTTCTTTGCTTTTGAATAACTGAATCATCCTTTTATCTTTCTTAACTAGTTTTTAAGGCGAGATCTCTTCCTTCATTTCAGCCATCAACCAGAGAATCAGTCAGAGTGCTCCAGTGAAGCAGCCTCCACCTCTGGCTCCCCAGAGCCCACAGGGAGGAGTCATGGGTGGTGGCAATTCCAACCAGCAGCAGCAGATGCGACTGCAGCAACTGCAGATGGAGAAAGAGAGACTGCGACTGAAGCAGCAAGAACTGCTCCGGCAGGTGAGGCCACAGGTTAGAAACCAGCCTTCCACTTTTTGGGGTTTGTTTTCCTCCATGAAATAGTGCATATTTCATTTTAGCATTTATTACAAACAAATGAATGCTGTTTCTCAAAAACTAAAGTGATACAGAAATGTTTTATCCAGCTCTGCCCTTGCATTAGTTTGTTGATTGGTCTTTATTTCCTGGAATGTAACTTGTAAACTTTTATCACAAAGAGGTATCTTAGTCCTAGCCATTGCAGCTCAACAAAAATTAAAGGAAGTAAAGTTGCTTTGTCTGATGTATATGGAATTGTAGCTTACTGTCTTATCTAAAGGATATTACTTGGGGGAGGAAAACATCTTTTACCTTAAATGAATTCTTCATATAGGGAATACTTTGATATGACATATCTCAATTATACTGCTTTTCCTTAGCAGTATTGCTAAGTTTAAGATATTTTATTTAAAACGTAGCACATGTTATTGTCCAAAGTTTAAAAGATCCAAGAGTGCCTTAAAATGACCTGTTTATGGATATTTTTTCATGTTGGGAAGGGTAGAAACTAACAGTAGTGAGCCTTTTACAATTATTTGCATCAGTTTTCTTTCAGAGAGTACTATTGATCTTTATGCTTCAAGGAATAGATAATTCCTCATCTCAGAATCAAATATTAACTTTCCTTGTGTCAGACTGTGAAGTGTAAGTTCAGTTATTGGGGATCTTATTACCACATTTTTGCATATAATGTACCCACATATATAACGTGAACATGTATATAAAGTGCACAGTACAGTATGTGCACGGGGGTTGCATAGTGCACAAAAACCTTATGACATGTTATTTGCATAAAATGCAGTATTATAAGCAGTATGTACATTTATTTTTAAATTTCTGAAAAAATAATTTTCTGAATAGACAGTGAAAACAAGGTACAATAGTCAAAGTTTATAAGAGGTGAAAATAAAATCTCCTTTTCCTATTTCTCTGGTTTTCTTCCCTGCATATAAACAACTATTAACTGTTTCTTGTATTTTTTTCAGAGATAATCTATCAATTTGAAAACAAAATATATGTATATATGCTATATTTTCCTCCTAAATAGTAGCTTACTAAGTGTAGACATTAAAAACTATTTAGTCTGTCGTCTACATTTCTGTTTATGTGGACTATAAACAAGGCATTTAAACAGGTACGTTTTTAAAAAAAAAAATAAGGCTATATTTTAAAAGACAGGAGCTCTGGTAGCGTAGTGCCTAAGGCACTTGACTGCTAACCAGAAGGCTGGCGGTTCAAACCCATCAGCCACTCCTTGGAAGGCAGATGGGGCAACCTACTTCCGTAGTGATACTGCCTTGGAAGCCCAAGGAGGGGTCGCTATGAGTCGGGTCCGACTCGACAGCACATAACAACAACAGCAACAATATTTTAAAAGAGTCACTTGAGTGTCAATGGAAAGACAACTGGATAAAGTCTTATGAACTTGCTTGATACCATCTTTGAACTCTAATTTGGGATTTAATGAACTGGTACCAGAAGAATTAAGCTAAGCATGGCATCCCAGACAGACTCACCTTTAAATTGTTTATGTTGTATCAGTAACACATCAAAGTAATTCTAGTGTAATTGGCATCAAAAATGAGCCCTGGCAGGAGTATGAATGTTTGTGCCAACATATGATGTCAGGAAGCAGTCTTAAAAGAAGTGTTTTCTTCATCTGTCATTAAGAAGGCAAAGGGAGATCACATATTAGCACAGTTTACTATACCTCTGACTTTCTAACAAATTATAATAAAGGAAAGATTTTTTTTTACTTAACTAAAACTGTGTTTTTAGAACCATCAGGAATAGAACTATGTAGCTATTAGAATAAATAATGTTTTGCATAGCATGTTTTCATTCTTTTCATTTTGTTGTTACTGAGTACTAAATGTAAATAAGTAAATATAAGTCATAATTTAATATATGAATGAAAACTTTCAAAATAAAGAAATTTGAACAAGAGAAAAAGGTCTATGATTGCTAATGTCAAAGTCTTGCTGTTTTTAAGGTAATTTTTAAAGTCTATAAATGAGCCATTGGTCGTTTTGTTGTATGCCATAGATCAGCCTGTTTTTTTGGTGGGCAAAAACTGCTGTTATAAGCTTTTCCTTCCAAAGAATTCTTATTCTCACTTTTACTCTGGGTGATGGGTCCTGGAGAGAATAGCTTCATTTTCTTTAAAGGTAACCCCTTAACTTTGTTTCTTCTTTACTACCTACTGTGTTGTCTTTTTCCTGTGTTGAAGTGAAAGAGCTGCTCTATTCTTACAGTCTTTTTGGGGGGGGGGGATTGTTTTGTTTTTTAGCAATCAATATAAATTTAGGATATCTTAGGTCTTTTGGCTTCCTGTGAGCTTCTTGCATTGACAGTTTTTCTCATCAATGAAACATCAAATATTTTATTTATTTATTTATTTATTTATTTATTTATTTATTTATTTATTTATTTTGCTTCATCTAATACTCAGAAGCAAATAACCTACTTGACCAGTATCAAATAGTCCTGACCCCTAAAGTCTTGCTGTCCTATCCTCAATGCTGTTAAAACTTGTGAGGTTTCAGTTTTGTTATGTGGTGACTTCATTGGCTCCTGTCTTCCTCAATCTGCTGCTTCTTGGGCTAGCTTGGGAATTCTGTGCTATGGCAATATGACTGGATGCAATTTGTAAGTCAGCCTGCACAGCCAAACCATGTGGCTTAAAATAATTTTTATCCATCTTATTTTTTACTCTTAGGCAATGCGGAATATCAATCCCAGCACAGCAAATTCTCCAAAATGTCAGGTAGGCTCTCATCTGATGTTCTAGCATTGAAAAAGACAGAAGATACTAAATTAGGAAAGAGAGAACTTTAACTTTATGCTCCAGGTGCCTGTCTATCCTCATTGATGATCAGCCCAGAGTATAAAAAAAAAGTTTTGAACATTTAAGCCAGCTCTCTACCAAGATACTGTTCTCAGAAAGTCTATACTGTCTGCTCCCCAATCCCCAAAAGCATCTAATATTCATTTTGATTCAGTGAAGGTCTTTTTTATTCCACACTTTTGAAATGTATTATATTTCAAATGTACATCTTGCCAGCCTCAGGGTGTGCCTGCTTTTTATTTGCATAGTTTAAAATAGTATTTTAATGATTTATTGGAATTAATAATTTTTGTAATAGCAAAGATTTTTTTTAAAAAAATCTTACTGCTGTTGAGTTGTATCCAACTCATAGCAAACCCCTCCTTGGGTTTCTGAGGATTGGCTGGTAGGTTTGAACCACCAGCCTTCTGGTTAGCAATCAGATGCCTTAGGCACTATGCCAGATAGTACTATTTACTTGGGTAGGCTGATTTAGGAAATCTTAGTAAGAGCCATAATAATCCTAGTAGGATAGGAAAAATCCTCTTTAGTAGACATTTTATGGGAAAATATCAGAATTATCGGAAGAGAGAAGGATCTACTTGGAGAATGTTCCAGTTTTCTTTGTTGGCTTTTATCAACATTTTCTCCTGATAAGCCCCCAGGGAACATTAGTTATAAAGGCATCTTATTTAGATGCAGAGATTGTGGCCATTTTTCTTTCTAACTCAAATACTTATGTGACTGGTGGGAAGAACCTCATCCTTGGAGCCAAAGAGATGCTATGTGTTTAGGACCCACAAGATTCAATGGAATCTTAGAAACTAGATGACCTTTGTACTCCTCAGGTGCACAAAAGTGAACATCAAACACCTGACATTTTATTCAGCTCATTCTGTGCTAGGCTAAACAAGTGCATTGTGGTAGAATCCATTGTGTATAAGTGGAAGCTGGCAGAATTCCACTCATTTTGAATACTGTTAACTTGTCTATTGGAGCACTGTGCTGATAAAGTCAGATACAGCCTTTATAAAGACCAGTTAACTTTGTGAGAAGAATAACTCTATTCTTCTTTATCTATCTCATAAGAGCTTCCATTTAATAAAAGACTAATTAAGGAAATAGTTATAACAAGTCAGCATCACCAAAGCAGAGTGCAGACATTCTCACGGTGAGGGGCACTTATATCACATTTGTGAAGAGCAACATAGTATTGGATCTTTATTATAAAGTAAAGGTACTTTTTTCTTTGCTTTTTCTGTGAAGTGTTTCTGAAAGATTTTTAATTCATATTAAATGAAATGGAAACTAAAACAGGAGTATAAATTAAATGAGATTTGGATTCAAGTAAAAAGTCCCCCATGCCAACTGCAGGTTTAATTGCCTCCATGAATTACCTCCTTTTCTATGAGAAGAGTAGAAATGGATAGTGCCCAAATACCATTACTGAAGGTTTTGACCCAGGACCCATAAATGGAAAATTATAGAACAGACCCTAAATTCTTGTGGAAACCAGACTTAATGGATCCATTGAGAGTAGGGGAACCTGTGAATCTGTTGTTTGGAAATAGTTGTTAAACCTTGAACTGAAACTATCCCACGAAGTCATCTTTAAAGTAAACAGTTTAGCTCAATTAATAAAGAACATTGGCTTTGAGCACTGTGTTCTTTTAAAGAATTATCTACATGAGATCAAAATTGACAACAGTAACTAAAGCACAGTTGAGAACTTTAAAGGACAGAGTTAGAAGTTAATGAAGATGAAATAATATGCGTAGAGATAGAATGGTGACATGATGTGTTGTAAACCGTTGTCATTAAAAGTGCACATTAACAAAAAGTCCTCCAGGCCAAAGGTGGATGTTGAAATAATTATTTTCCTTTTTTTTTGCCCCTACCCAGATTATAAATTTGATGAGTAAATTAAATGCTCCTAGATCTTCATCTCATACTTGAGTAGAAGTGTAAATAATTGTTGTTAAAATTTAGGTCATGATTTCTTAGAAACTTTTTTTTAAAATAGTAAAGTTTTAGAAAAAATGAGGCTTGTAAGTAATAAAAATTCCAAGTTATCAAAATTACAGAGTTGATTCCTTCCATTTACCTAGGCCAGAGCAAGAAACTGAAGATAGTTTTTGTTTTTAAAATCCAGTTCGCATATGCTGGAAATTAAAGCACTGATTTAATGTTTGAACTGTCAATATGTTTACCTACTACAACTGTGAAAATGTCAATTAATATATGACATTCCATTATAAGGTTAACTGTGAAGTAACTCATCAGATACGTGGAATCTTGTACTTGTATCAAGCCAGTATTTATTTGTGTTTTTCTCCTCAGAGATATTTTTTGGATGACTCTGAGGTAGATGTCAGGAAAAATTTCACAAAAGAGCATCATGTATTAGGTGAAGATGGCTTTACCTAAGGTTTACCAGGATAGTAAAGGTTGTACCAGAAGGGCCTTTCTAGTCTCAAAGAACAAAATATGTAACAGAGAAGAAAGGTGGATTCATTCAGTATTTACTGAGTACCAAGCACTGCTGTTCAAAGTTTTGGGTGGTGTAGTTTGTTTTTCAACTTTTCTAATACAAATTAGTGCAACTGTGTTAATAAGCAACATTAAGTGTCTTTACTTAATACATTATATACGTCATGTGCTGTGACAATGTGGAAGGTACCAAACTTCAAAATACTAATGAATTATTAGTTTCCAAAGTTGTCTTAAGTACTTCCAACTAGGATTAAGAAAACATGTCTATATTGTCAGATTCTTCGGTTATGTAAACTAATATAGCTGTGATGAGGTTAGTTGGAAATCTGAAGAGATATTACTGCAGTGATAGTAAAGTGCAAAATTCTGAAAAGTTAAGGCCATTTTAAAGTAATTCATATATGTTTTCATTAAATAGGCAGTTAACTTATTAGGTTTGGTTTGTGGAATTCTAGAAAAATTTGTCCTTACAGAGCTTTTTATTTTCATTTTGATTATTCACTATATTTTTGCTTCAAAACCAGTTTCTATTTTTGGGAAAAACACTTGTGGAAACTAGAAACATTGTCTTTAATCTGTGAGATTATGAGCATTTAATGCTTAGTTTTCTAGTTATATCTCTTACACATCAGTACTCCTTTGTAAGTTGGAGAGAGCTTTTAAGAAAGGAAAGATAGCTCCTCAGAGTGTGAATATTTTTATCTGTTCTTATACTTAAAAATATGATTCTTGATACCTGTGAGACCAAGTCTAACTTTGGAGTCTTGCTCATGGTCTGTGGTCAGTAGCCTTTTCTTTGCTGATTCTGTTAATCAGTCACTCTTCCATCACTTGAGTGCATGTCTGTCTTGTTGTCATGATTCTTTCTGCTCACAGGCTTTTCCCAATAGTGAGTGCTTGGCTTTTCCCCCTTCCTTCCTATTGATTAAGCGTCTCCATTTCTCTTACTAGGCTTAGCTCAAAACTCTTCCCTAAGTAGCCTCATCAGAATTCTTAAAATTATCCAGAAACAAGACTGCTGTACATAGAGCCAATGTCATTCTTTGGCCCATGTCATTCGTTGGCCATTGTAATTGATTCAAAGTCAGGAGGCCAAAGATATGATGTGGGATTATTTAATTTTACTTCTGAGCAAATTATTGCTTCAATGTACATAGAAAATATAATTCTAACTATAATTCTAAATTTTGCAAATGATGGCTACCCTATGTTTGACATTCCTTAGGGGTACTAATAAATATACATCAAAGTCAGTCACTGGCTTAATGAGTGATAAAGCCTACAGTGTTAATGTTACTTAGGCTACTGCGTTACACCTTTTGCCCCAGTAGTAAAAGGTTTAAATGTCCATAGTTTAGTCACATAAAGCAAAATAATACCACTGTTCCAGCTATGGGAAAGCATTTACAGTAATTGCCAACAGCCTTTCTCCCCCCCCTTCCCCAAACTTAGAAATAGCAAATTTTTTTTGTCCAAACTATCTTTCAGTTATCAGACTAGAAAAGCTGTTTCAAAATCCCTGTTAGCACTTGTTCCATGACTGTTTGTCTTTGCATTCCAAATATTAAATAAACCATAAGTTTATTTGGTGTTAGTAACAAACCTATTATATTTTCTTTTCAATTGATATGTGGAAAGCTTTGTATAAAAAGGAGACTTAGCCTCAGACCCTACATGCACCAGTAGTTTGTCTTATTTGTTTTATTAATTAAAATCACCTCTTTCTTATTGGAACAGTGCATAACAATTTTATTACTTCAGCTAAGATCATAATTAAGTAACACAAATGACAAAAGACCTCAGTTCGAAAGATTTTAAAAAAGTGTTAAATTTTGCAGGATTGAGCTGGGAACACCAAATTACAACTCATTTTTGGATGACACTTTGAGAGTTAGGATTTTATATAGTTATCATTATCCCTAAATCCATGTGTATAGATTTTTCCTAGTCAAAAGTTGGTCTCAAGTTGAAGAAACTTTGATAAATGGCAAAAGTACTAAAAAAACGAAAAGTGTTCTAAGCCTTGGCTGAATGTTTTCATGACTTTACAGATAACTAAATATTGTGTGACTAATTAAAGCTATGCTGGGATAATGGGGTATGGTGAGGCCTGTCTTGAACAGTTAGGAAAAATGGCTTTGTTTTTGTTTTTAGAACTGTTGGCATAAACTGCTATCACTAAACAAACTATTTATAAGATGTATATTCTTAGAGTTATTCTCCGTGTCTAAATTTGGATTTTTAGTTCACTAAGCTAACCTTCCTTTAAAAAATTGATTACAAAAAAAGTACACTTTCACTGAGAGTGTTAACACATTGTGAAAAATGTTAGCCAGTGTCACTGCATAATTTGTACAGAAGTTGTTCAATGGGAGCCTAATTTTCTATGTAAACCTTCACTGAAAATACAATGGAATTTTTTTAAAAAATACTGTCACTTGTGTGCC